TCTATATATATATAAGTAGTTGAGTAACTGCGATGATGTGTTTTGCCAATCCAGCAGAGGATCCCATTTCCCTTCCATTATTATTTAAGTACATACGTATCATTAAAAAACATTTCAAACGGTTTCAAGTTACGTATGACAACATGCGATAACGATACCGAACTTCTGATAAGCTTGAATTGAATCAATAAAAATTAAGTACGTTCGTATCATGTACCAGGTTTATACTATGGACAGTAAAAATTAAGAATAAAAAATTCGCATAGTTTTTGTTGGATAACGATTTGAATTCGCTAAAAATTTGGTAAATAAACTAAATTTATTATTGAAATAAGAAAAACATGTATAGAGTATACATACATTCACTACCTAATGAAAGATCATATACATGTTATTCAGCTAGACGTTTGTACTTGGATAAAAAAAATCGGTAAGATCGATCACGACGTTATATATTGTTGTATGTATAATGTATCGTCTACATACCGCACATAGGTGTATTTTTCACGATTTTCATATCTTATTAAGACATACAACTAAGTAAAACGGACAGTGTCGTATTTTTTTACAAGTAGAATATCATTTTATAGTTAAATTTAAAAAATGAACAAAATTTAGGCATGTAGAACTTAAACTTATTGAAAACACTCCAAGTCCCATGTTGTTTTTACGATTCTTACGTATATACATCTGCTCCTCGTGATTAATCCTTTGATGATATATTTTTCATTGGTTAAATAATAGTCATGCAATTCCGTTATACTCTAATAAGTAACCATTCAAGTTTCGAGACAAGTTACTCCTCGCGTTTAATTATACTTATTATCAAAGATTCCGGAATTTTCTCCATTTGAATCGATAATTGTTATTTTTAACCGACTTCCCTGTCTCTAATGTAATACAATATTACAATGTGTTGTACATTATATTAGTGATCACTTTTAAGAGCTTGTAAGTTTTTGTACAGCTCTTTTGCAATCGCGATCAAACAAGTGTTTCAGGTACTTTATTTTTCTCACAATACAGGTACGGATTAGATTTTTTGTCGAGATCACGTTTTTCAACATTTTACGTAATACACAAACAAAAAAATTGTCATTACGTGAAAATTGCATATTCATGAATTGTCCAAATATTACAGTGGATTGATGAGAATATACTTGTGATGTTAAATTTGAACCACCCGCCGATGTAGAACTTGCGGGGGCGACAGGGGGTTCAATGTAAACGCACCTTAATGTCTACACCGATGCGCAATATATGAATATATGAAAAGCTGACGACAAAAGCTGTAATCTAATATTTTCCAGAATTCCTGTAGACAAGTGCTGTTTGTTTTTCTTGTACGGTTTAGCTGACAAGTGCTAGAATGCAGCGAGTCGCAGTGGTTTTCAGCAGAAATATGGCCTTCTTGAGGTAATCCACGACTGTATATTAATTTTATTTACATTAAAAACCAAACTTGATGAGCAGACTTTGGCACTGTGCCCCAACTTTTTTTCTCTCCTCCTGATCCTCTGGCTGTCGTCGATGATTTTACGAAACGAAACGCCCAACGAGATCGAACACTGTTTTTTTTTTAGCACGATTGACCTCTCCTTCGACACTTTTTTGGCACGATTACAGTTTTTGTATAACCTAATCCAACAGCCTACAACATTGCCCAAAGCCCAAGAATCGCTCCGCACGTATTATTCGCAAGCTACCGGTCTTACATAACATTTTTGCTGTATTCACCACCTACTTTGCTATCAGTTTTACTTTATTCCTGATTTTTAAGTTGTTTGATTAGAAAACTCAATGTAACACCATGAATTTTAAGGAATATTTTGTTAATGTCCGTATTATAAATTTTATTTCAGCCGTGTAAACATGGTTGGTGAACGAGGATCCGGAGCCGGCAAGGGTGGAGGTGGTGGTGGATCCATTCGCGAAGCTGGTGGAGCCTTTGGAAAAATGGAAGCTGCTCACGAAGACCAATACTTTTACAACTTGGTAATCTTCGTAGTCTTAAGCATAATATACGGTCTGATCGTTACATTGGAAAAAATCATGACGTTTTTAATGTTTTTTCTTAATCATATGATGCCTTCAAGTAAATTCTTCTTATTTGTTGTAGCAAAAAGAACAAATTAGTAAGTTGAAGGATGGCTTGCATGATGAAATTTCATTCCATGAAGAGCAAATTAAACGTCACCAAGAAGCCATCAATCGTCACAAGAAAAGAATCACTGAAATGGACAAGGAGTGAAGAGCATTTGCTTTGTTACGTACCTATTTGTATACATCAATCTCTACTATGTGAGAGAAGCACACGCTGAAAAAAAAAATTTAATGAACAAAGTATTACTTTATTTGCTCAGTTCTCATTATTAACTGTTTTGGTAGTTGTAAGTACAAAATAAAATGTCATCTCTACAGTTTGGATTATAAAATTTAAAAACAAAACACGTCAGTCATTAACGCAAATCCACACAGGAGCCATGCCAGAATGGGTAATATATTGATTATTCACCTCTTTGATAAAGAACTGATGTGTATTTTACTGTTGCTCAAACTTGTATAACATTGTAAATGTATTAAAACATTCAATTTTTTTAACAATACACCAAAGTAATTCATTTTTTTAACCATTATATTATTAAAATCTTATATCCTAAAATTTGTAGTTATAAAGTGATAAAGAAATCAGTATCCAAAGTAAAATACTACTGTGTGAAATGTTAAAAAGGATCACATTATTGCACCCTCTTTCCCACTGTTGACAACTAGTCTGTGTTTTTTTACATAAGAAAAAGGTAATGAAGCATTGTTACATGATGTCAGTGAATTACAGGTTTACACACTCACGAAGGGATCCACTGCCTGCTCGTAAAAGTAGATCGTCTTTGAAACTTCGCGGGTCAAGAAACGCGAGAAGACACATTACGTGGGTTACCTTATTGGCTCCGCCATTTGTAAATTACCGGCTTCTATCGCCATTTGTTGCAAATGTGAGTTTTTATGTTTCGTGCATGAGTATGCTTTTGCTCCACATGGCGTTGAGGTGAACCAATAAAAAACGGGTCTGAGTTTGTCTGTTCAGTCCTTAGAGAATGTATATATTCTCTAAGATTCAGTCTTTTGACTTCGAGACTCGATACGTCATGTTTCGGGGACCATTCAACATGTAAACAACAACACGAAATAAGTAGATACGTGCAGATATTTATAGATTTGTTAAAAAATAACGTGTATACTAGCATACGCCTATAAATACATCATGATTGTGTTTGAAAAAATTGTGACTTTGAACTTACATGACACATTTTTTGCTAAAAACCATTAAATTTTAATAAAAAGAAAGAAAAAAAAGCATTTGTGGACAATGGAAGATGATTTCAAAGAAATGTTGGAATTGTATCCCACGTTAGTGCTTGTGTCGGAATCTCCACCGACATGGAAAGGATCGCTGACAGTGACCAATAATTACACAAACTGTAAAACAAATGTTGTGGTCAAATTTGTTGTTCCATTGTATCCACACTTGAATGATGCTTCGATTTATTTTGGAAGAAGTATTGCTTTCTTGTTCGGGAATCGTTTTAAAAATCAAATAGAATCACTAATCAAAGCATCTGAATCGGTACCTTCCTTTTTTCAAGAACTGACAACAGCCATTGTACGTGCAATAGGTAATACTTTATTGTTTCACTGAATTCTTATGGATAATTGAGATATTTCTTTTCAGGAAAAAATGATCTGTGATTATCATGAAAAAGAAATGATTATTTCCCTTAAAACGGATGCAAGAGAAAAACTATTGAAAGAACTTAGTTATGTGTTGTCAGAAAATTCAGTAATATCCAAATATATATTATATTAAGGAGTGAGAATTTAAATGGAAATTGAAAATATTTTAAATCTATAAAATCATTTTTAGGAGGTTGAGCTTTCATCTAACAAGGACCTCAGTACAATAAAACTTAGTATGAATGATATTTCTATAATAGTAGAGCCTTCGATTAACTCTTCTGGTCAAAATTCGTGGAAAATCGTTTCTTCAGAATTACCAGATGTACCTGGTTACACAATCAATGAAAAAAAATCTTTTACATTGAAAGAGATAAGGAACATGTTTCAGAAACAAGTGGATCTGTTAGAAGATGTTTGGGCTCAATTGAGGAAACTTGACAAGTAATACTTTTTATATATTTGTTGAAAATCGTTATATTCTATGGGGCAAATGAATAAAACATTGCGGAAGTTTAGTTTTTGTTGGGTACTAGATCCACTTGAGCCAAAACCCTACCATCTATATCGAAGAATCTACTTATCACCATCGCTATCTGTTTTTATTACTCTTGATCCAAATGATCCTACTGGCTATCCAAAATTAGTGTTTATTGGTGCTAAAAATGAGGTAGAAAAATACAGAGATTTGGTGCAAGACGAAGATAATATCGAGGTATACTCATAATAGTATGTAGTGCATTACAAACATTAGCATGTAGTATTAAAATGTTCAAATAATTTCAGAAATGGGATTTAGAGTCCAGTGTGTATGAAAATCTGTTGTCACTGTTGAACATTGATGATTTTCCAGTACAACCACTAACTGCAAAATCCGAGAAAGACGAGGAAGGCGTGTTTGGTGATGAAGAGTGTTGTATTTGTTTCTCGGACGAAGCCGACGATGGAACATTACCCGATGAAGTATGTAATAACAATAAGTGCAGGCGACGTTTCCACCCCACATGCTTATTCCGGGTAATTGTTATGAATCCTCTTTTATCGATATCGATAGTTGAAAATTAGTACTCGTATACCATGTGTCATTTATTTTATTGATTTTAGTGGCTGCAAGAACTCTCCACCAACAAAATCGTGTTCAATAAAATATATGGCGCCTGTCCCAACTGCAAACAAGAAGTATGTTGTAACGTACCATCCACCTAATATCTTTTGATATTCAATTTTTAAGAGCGATTGCCAAAGTTACAATAAATCATGAAAATAAATTTATATTTACATAAATAAGCAACTTTCATGGTTATTTCACGTTTATCACAAAATCACTTGACTTGTGTAATATTAAATCCAACAAATTAAAAAATCCTATGTCAATATCTTCTTGAACGAAAGAAAGCAAAACTCTCGGTGTGCAGAGCCATAAGTAAGCTGACACTGTAAATATTATTGTTGGAGAGTCTTGACTCACCAGTATTATTTTCCCTGTGTAAGGCACATTCGCTTAAGTCGTGGACCTATAACAACTTTGAACCGTATCAGCTGCTCGCAGTCGTGATTGAGCATCGGTTTGAAAAGCTCACGAAACACCTACAATACATCGTGTTGTTCGTCACACACTGCTTATCGGGGGTTTTTTTTTTTTTTTTTTATCTGCCAAGTAAATATCTTGATTGTAAAAGAGATAAAAATAATAATAACCGCAAGCAATGGATCCACCAGTAGCTTCGAAATGGAAACGAGTGACTTTCGTCGAACCCGTTACCTTTTTCATCATGTTTGCCTACACCGTGTCTGGTAACTAAGTATACTTTGTACGCTCATCTGATAACTCAAGGGCGCGTTATTACATACTGTAAAAGAGAAAGAAGAAAAAAAAAGCAAATTCCTTTCTATGCAGACAGCGTCATAACGGACGCGATAGTTTACAAAACGTGCGTCCAATTGTTTGTTGGAAACAATACCGATTGCGCGATCCTGTACATGAACAGCAGTAGCGAGATCGCTAAGCGTTTACAGGAGCTCGTCCAGCCGCACACGGCCACGCTCTTGGTTTTAAAATCGTCGATCGAAACACTCCTCCCGACAATACTGATCCTCTTTGTCGGTCCCTGGAGCGACACGAACGGCAGGAAGCCTCTTTTGCTCGTCCCCTTCATCGGTACGTACAAATTTTTGTAACATATACTACATACCCCAAACGGTGGATTAAATCGTATTGTTTTTCAGGCTCAACGATATACTACGCTCTGTTTTCCGTGCTCAGCAACCTCGAGGTCGATCCCCACTGGTTTCTGGCCGCGTCGACGATATCGTCTCTACTCGGCGGCTTCCCGGCGATTTTGCTGACCTGCTTTTGTTACGTGTCGGACGTGACGAGCGAGCAGAGTCGAGCCTGGCGCCTGGGCTTCTTGGACTTTGTGCTGTTTGGTGGGCAGCTCGTCGGCTACCTCGTCAATCCTCTATTGTTCAAGCGCTTTGGCTACTGGCTTGTCTTTGCGACTTCGGCCTCCAGCTGCCTTCTCGGATTGATCTACTCGCGCTTCGTACTGGCAGAGACGATATACACGGGGACTGGTGTCGGTACACTGTTTCGACGTCTTTTACAAAACGAAAAGTGAATTTTTTTTTCCAATTCATAATGTGTACCCTTTACAGCGCTCTTTGAGGAGCTTATTCGATCCCAGGTTGATCAGGGATCTGTTTCGAGTCGTCGCGAGGAAGCGCGACAGTTTCGACAGGTGTCTCGTCTGGTGTTGTTTGCTCATGATCGCCTTGCACGACGACATGATGCAGGGTACGGCCACTATACTTTACCTCTTTACTAAAAGGATCGGCTGGAGCGTCACGGATTTCGCCACGTACTCGGTGTTCCAGTTGCTCGTCACCATGTGCGGCATGCTGCTTCTCATCAAAGTCATATCGCCTCTGCTGAGTACGACTCTGTTTTTTTTTTTATATATAAAGTTTAAGACGAGTTTCAAATTTACTTGGATTTTTCACAGAACTGCCGGAAACTGTGAGCATCATGATGGCGAGTTTGTCAAACGGCGGTGGTTCGATCGCGAAAGCTCTGACTTTCGAGTCTTGGCACTTGTATCTGTCGACCGTCGTTGGGATGTTCAGCCTTGCCCCGGCTTCGCTCGTTCGCAGCATCATATCGAAAAACGTCCAGCCTCATGAAGTTGGTGAGTTTAACTTGTGGTATATAACAAGCCAAATGGATTAATGAGACGCACGTGTATCGCAGGCAAAGCATTCGCTGTGACAACGGCGATGGAAAAAATCGGCCCGTTCATGACGACTCCGATCTTCGTTTATTTGCACACGAATTTTCTTACCACGTATCCATGCCCTGTGTGGTTCTTGCCCGCGGGATTGAGTTTGTTGATTGTGGTGCTTGCGTTTGTCGTTGAACTGAGATGGAGAAAAATTAGAAGTTAGCCATATGGACTTTATGAATCGAGTTGAAGTCAAATCGTACTTAATTTAACATTTTATCAATGAACAAATGACAAATTTGTATTTTCTTTGGAGTCCATAGTATTTGTTTATACTTTTTATTCTTTTGTATTTTCAAATTAAATTAACAGAAAGGATTTTCATAAAAATCTTTATTCAATGGTCACCTAAAAACATGGTAATGAGAAAATTCTTTTTCAACAACAATTTTTTCAACAGTTTCATTGAATTCCGTTGTCCCGCATATTAAAATTAAACACGATTCTGATGAATAAGAATTGAGTATTCCCCTGATTATATCACCGTTCAAACGATTACTCACAATATTTATGCCTGTCATATTTGCTGTGCCTACTAAAAAATTATACGAAATTATTACGTCGAGTATGGAAGGTATATTTTTGGCATAGATTTTGAAATTCTAGAACTTACTTTCTTGAGATAAATATAAGGTGCACTCAAAGTTCCAATAATCACTCAAAAGCCTTAACTCATCATTCAATGGTACATGTGAGAAAGATCTGAAGCCTACAGTCATATTAATTTTTGTGTCTTCCAAATCGTCTTGAACAATCGAACTTGCCAGTGGGTACATAGCTGCAATTCCAGATCCAATGCTCAACATGAGAATGTGCTTGTAACTAAAAGAAAATATAAATAAATAAAAAATGAAGTAACCGTAATACATAATTTTTACAAGAGCTCCAAGATTTATTATATATTTAGTTTTTACCTGTTTCTCTGGTACTTGAACTCTCCGTATGGGCCTCTAATGCTTAATTCATCGTGGACTTTTAATTTTTTTACATAATTACTTGCTTTCCCGTTGGAATATAATTTGATCAGCAGTTTTATACTCTTCCGACTCCAAGATATAGGAGTGTATGGCTTTGTTACTGTATCAAGTTTAATCATCACGTGCTGACTAGGAGATAAAAAAATAATGTCGTCTTCTTTTTCTAAAAAAAAAAATTGTTCCTTACATTTGTTGTAGTAGAAAGTCAGAAAATTAAAGTTTGGTCATACTTGATTTGCAATTCAAGCATACAAAAATGCAGTCTTCACATGCTTTTGTTATTTTGTCGATAATAAATGCGCTATATTTGACAGGTGACAAGTAATTTTTATCCAGTAAAGTATCATTCAATTTGTCGAATTTTTCCTTGTTCCATTTTTCCAGTAATTTTTTATGAATATCAAATATACACGGATTACAACCATTTCCACAGCAATCTTCTTCTACTGGAGTAGGAGGACGATTATCAATTTCACCGCTCTCTACCGATGTCATGCTCTAAAAAATCATTACTAATAATAAATTAATAGCACCTATTTTAGTATTATTGTATAGTCAAATTGTACGAACGATCCGTTTTACATATAACAACAATGGAAAATAATTTTTTTTACAAGTATAAGCTAGAATTGGTGATAACTTAATTTTTTTCATCATCAAATATAAAAACATGAATTTTTTTTCTTCTCGAAAATATTTGTACTGTTTGCATTATTCATAATATTGTTGCAACTGTCTGCGTTGCACACTGACGTCGCATAACAATCGAATCGGTTTTATTATCATGATAACATTTATATATATATCATGTTACAATTTAATCTTGAGTTAAAGTACAGACATATAGGTATGCATGAGATCACACACTATCTCTTGACGTTGCTGTTTCCTGTTTTTTAATTTCTCTGCATGCAGAGTGCTCTCTCTCCTCACTCACCCCTGCAGCAGCATAATAATTTCACACACTGCACACTACATAAATGGTGTATATATATACGATTCAGGTATTCAGGTCAAAAGCAGCCGAGTGGGAGTGAGTTGATTGTAAAGTTATCAAAATAACAAATACTTAGGAGCGTTTTCGTCAGCTGTCAAAAAAAGAAAAGTGTCGATGTAAAAATAAAATGTGATATTAGTAGTAGGTGTCACCTGTCACTGACAATTCTTTAAAAATAGTTAAGATTTCGTCCGATTAAAGAAGAATATGTTTCGTTGTACACACAAAGAAAGTGCATAATAAGTAGATAGTGTGACCAAATTTTAGAATGACGCAAGTACTTCTGGAGGCATGCAACAAAGGAAAATACACTCCGTTACTTATCATCTCCTTCTCCCGCTGGGAATTCTCTCACTCTCCGTGAACAATTATGGACAGAAAATTATTTCTTCGTTGTCTGTACCCTAAGTATACGTGACTAACAGCTTTTAGCTCCATTCTTCATGTTGGCTCGTATTTTTTGTAAAAGAGCAGCTGATAGCAGTCGAGACACAGAGAGAAAACTATGCTGCCTTCAAGTGCTGCTGGACACACGGATTGACAACTCTTTTGTTTTTTGTTTTTTTCTCTGTAATTTGTGGGTTTGTTCTCGGGAGCTTTTTGGGACTAGATATTTTTTTTTACAAGTTTCTTAAAAGCAATAATGGCTACTACAGAGGGGATCGATTGGTGTCAGTTTGCCATGCTACCACTGGCTTTTGCACTGATGTCTTCTTATTCCATATCAGGTGAGTTTGCACTTTTATTGTTTGATTTTTAACTGTACCGAAGTCTAGCTTCACACTTGAACAATATTTTACCACAAAAATAATTAATTTAAAAAATACATCGAAACATGCGTCATTAAATAAAAAAAAAAAAAAAAAAAATTACTTTAAATATCTTTGGTGTTGCAGATAGTGTCACGACGGATTTGGTGATTTACCGAACATGCAAAATAATCCCAGATGTGAACAATAATAGATGCGATGTTTTACACATGAATAGCAGTAGCAAGGAAGCAATGTCAATTGAAAAATTGGTTCAACCACACACTGCCAATGTTTTCATGTTGAAATCGTGCATTGAAACGATATTTCCAACAATAATGTCCCTCTTTCTTGGCCCATGGAGTGACAAACACGGAAGAAAGCCATTGCTGTTTTTTCCATTTCTTGGTTGAACAAAAATTTACAAAATTCAGTTCTATTGTTATTTAAGGTCACAATTTTTAAATTCTACCTTCACCTTCCAGGTTATTTATTTTATTATGTCTCCATGGCATGCTTAAGCAATTTAGATATTAGTCCCTACTGGCTTCTGTTACCTTCTATACCACCAGCACTTTTGGGTGGGTTTCCTGCTATTTTACTCACGTTTTTTTGCTACATAACTGATGTTACCAATAAAGAAAATCGAGCTTGGAATTTGGCGTGTTTGGATACCACATATGTTTTTGGAATTTTAGTAGGACTATTATTGGGTCCAGTTATAATGAGAAATTTCGGTTACATGGCTGTATTTCTGTCATCAGCAATTTTTTCCTTGTTTTCGATAATATATACATTTGTTTCTGTCAAAGAAACAGTTAAAAATGAAACTGAGGTAAGACTGCAAATTAAAATTTTTTTACAACCTGTTAGCTGATAAAATTGTAAAATACATCATACGTTATCTCACAGCGAAATCTGAGGAGTATTTTCAACATCTCATTAGTTAAGGAGTTGTTTGATGCTATAGCGAAAAAAAGAGATGGATTTGATAGATTTTTGATATGGATCTGTATATTGACAATTGGCCTGTTTGTTGTCGTAATTGAAGGAAATGCCTCAGTATCCTTTCTTTTCACAAGTTCGAAATTGGGTTGGAATATCTCAGATCAATCCATCTACGTAGCAACTCAATTACTAATATCCATATGTGGAATGCAATTTCTAATCAAAGTAGTTGGATCATTTCTGAGTGTGCATCAAATTGTTAAAACTAGTCATTTTTGTACTTGAAAATACTTTTAATGCTAAACTATCTTTTTGCTTTCAGAATTACCGGAAACTATGATAGTTGTTCTGGCAGGTTTATCCAATAGTGCAAGCAACTTGGTACGAGCTTTTGCAAGAAAACCATGGCACATGTATTTTTCTTCTGGTCTAGGAATGTTCACTTCATCAGCTATTCCAATAATCAGAGCTATCATTTCAAAATCGGTTCCTCAAAAAGATTTGGGTAAATAATTTGTGGTTAGTTATATTTTTTTAAAGTGTAATTGGAAGTATGGTATAACTGAAAATTTCTACACAGGAAAAATTTTTTCTATAACGACTGTAATGGAAATGATAGTGCCGTTTGCAACAACACCAATTTATTTATTCGTTTATAGCCATACCCTGACATTGTACCCTTGTCCAGTGTGGTTTATATCAGCAGTATTACCTTTCTTAATTATTATTTTTGTAATAATTATTGAACATAGATGGAGGAGACTGATAAACACCCAATACACTCCGTTTACTGCAATCGAAAATGAATAAGTATCGAAGATTTTTATCACTACTCTTAAGCTACTTTAATTAACTATAACGATATTTTATAAAAATTATTAGTTATACAAAATTACTACGAGAAAAGAGATTTAAATTTTTTTTAAGATAGTAATTAACAAGAAGCCTTTAAAGACTCTGTGATAAGAAAAAAATCTGTGATTTCAAATACTAATATATTTACAGTTTAAACATAAGTTTTACAGTAACAAGACGATACATATAAGCGGAATCTTTTAAAAAATATTGTTGCGCGTGAGAAAAATTTGAAAGCAAGTACAATAAACATCGAGATTCACAGCTCGTCATAATAATCCACATGGTCTCCGGACTCGTATTTTTTACTTGATAGAATGTCTAAAAACTTTTTTACAGTTTGATCAGTTGTCAGTACTCGCTCGTTTTCTTTTAAGTCTTTAAATATTTCTTTGGTCGTTGGATCAACTATATTATCAGTCACTGTGTCCAACATTTCTGTATCTACTGGTCCAGGTGAATAATTTAATACATTTACATCAGGATTTTCTTTGGCGAAAACCTAAATAAAATTAACAGTCATAAGTATATAATTTATATGTACAGTTCCTGTTAACTGAATAAAACGATCGTTCGTAAATATGCGACTTAATAAAATTTATCACAACTGACCTTAAAATACATTTCCCTTGCAGCTTTTCCTGAACAATAATAACCCATAGAGTTGAATGGTTGAATTCCACACGCAGAAGTAATATTGATAACGTGTCTTTTGATATTCTTTCCTTTAAATACATTCATAAAGACACCATTCAAAACAGCAGGAGAAAAAACATTTAAATCATAGTATTGTCTCCAATAATCGAAATCTGTCATATCAACAGCAAATTTCGTAACATCGCCAATCGACCCAACGTTATGTACAACGACTATTTCGTCAAATTTACTCGCAGCATCAGCTCCCGAATCCTTGACAAGAGCACCTAAAATTATACACCAATTGAAATTAGAAAATTAAAAAATCTCAAAAAATACAAATAACTCACCATCAATGATCGATCGAAGCTCCTCAGCTGTAGCTTTGCTCAAGTCGACGCTTCGATATTCAACGGCCAAGGTTTTTGGCATATTATCCGCCGTTCCCTTCAAATTCTCCGCATTTCTGGCCAAGAGCAAGACCAGCGAGCCGCTTTCTAAAGTCGAGCCGAGGACCTCGGCGATTTTCCTCCCGATGCCCTGGCTCGCCCCGGTCACCAGCAGGAAAACCTTGCCCTTGAAAATCTTTCCTGTCATCTTTCCCGTTTTACAGACCGTTGTTCTCTTCCTGACCGTTGATGGTTACTGATTTGTTCTCGGAGTCCTCAATATCTTCCGAGCTTGTTTGCTCGTTCACGGCTGCCTCGAGCGCGTCAGCCTTGAGGAGATGGACGAGCTCGTTTGCGGTAAGAGCCTACGAAAGTTGAACGAAATAGTTTTAGCCAGTAAAACTTTGTATGATCAACGAATGATGATGGTGGGAAGCTTAAAACTAACATCAGAAACTCGTTAATTTTTTTTAAAGATTCTGATGTACTTGGCCCGCGATAATTATGATGTTTATTTAAAAAATCACGATTTCGCAAAAGAAACACGGGGGAATAAAATTACGTTGTGATGAAATATAGCAGCTTTGGATTTACATTTGTTGATTCTTCAGATACAGTTATGCAAGTAATTGCATTGAAATTTGTGGTTCTAAGATAATAAATAAATAAGAATTTAACTGCATCCTTGAGAGAAAAATAAACATACAATGGATTTTAAAAAGGTTTATATTCATGAAACCTCATTTAATTAAATTTGCCAAATGTATACTTAAAAAGAACCTTATGCATAAATAATTATAAATGTTCAGTAGTATGAATTAGATACCTATTCCAAATTACTAAAATACGTTGTCGTCTAAGCCAAAAGTGAGATGCGATCTTAGGGCGTGCAGTGAGAAATTACTAAAAGGGTTGTGGATTGTGTAAAAAAAAAAAAATGATTCTGTGGACTTAAAAAAAAAACTTTACGAGCAAGAAGATTATACCTAACAATATTTACTGCAAAATTTTGTTATGCTCTAAATCATGTTGCTTTCAAAGTTGTTTTTGGGTTTTGTTTTAATTTTCCATGCAATGTTTGTTGTAATTACGTCAATATGGACTTAATAGTCTGAAAAATTTGGATTGTTTGTAAAAGACTGAAAACGAGTGTAACTTGGGTTTAATAAAACATTTTTTTCGTAATAATCCCGTCAAACACATACCTTTACAAGTAAGCTAATATTTGCAGTAATTTGATAATTTGTTGAGCAATCTTACTTGCAAATGCGGTGCGATGTGCCGGATGATTGGATTAGCTGCGAGTTCTATCTCCTCAGGTTTTTCAAGACCTTCACCAGCCTTGATTAATCGTGCGATGCAATCCTCTTTCGCAACAGACAGCGAATTTATGAGGTCGCGCTTGGACGTGCCTCTCTTGATTGCTTTCAATCTGGAATCTATAATTCAATCTATTAATTCACAAGTAAATTATTTGAAAATTTATTCATTTTATCAATTATGAAGATCCAACTGTGTAACTGCAAAAAATACAGTTTTTTTCTTATCCTCTTTCGCAGTAAACCAATAAATGATTTTTTAATGAATGTAAACACAAAAGATGATAAGAGTAGACCTACTTAGATACTTATCTCGCACAAGTACCTACTTACACTGTAAAAAAAAAAAATAATAAAAAAAAAAAAATTACCCAATCTTGCCAAGTACTGTTCGGAGTCCGGTAATCTCGGCAAATCCTCTGAGTTACGAGTATTGGATGCAACTACGCTGATAGACGACGTCGAAACAAACGAGTCCTCGAAGGAGCAGTTATCGTCGCTGGAGACACCGTTCTCACAGATCTCGCGACTCGCCAATGATAGCGACCATGGATCGCTTGTCGTCGTCCTCATATTTCTCCACTGCACTCGGTATCCGTTTACCCTTATACACCTTTACACTCAACTCGTCACGCGCCTTTCTATTGCAAATTTTATTTCTACTGATTTTATGTTTTTTTCTCAATGCTGTAATCCAAGAAGCAGCTTATTACGATGATTTGACACAGATTTGACGTAACGCAGGTTTGTTATTTTCCACTCTCCATTGGCACGATCGATGTGTGCGCACGGATATATATATAGTTATACACACATATTTCGTGGTTAAGGTTGGGATAGTGGTTTTCGTGGTAGGGTACTGCAGGGATCGTGGATACCGACAAAAAATTATTTACCAATCGTTGGTCAGTAATGGTAAGATTAGATGAGGGGGGGTTTTCCGCAATCGTCACCAGCAAGTAATTCAAGGTTGCGCTCTACGTTACCGCCAGGTCGGTAAGTCAACTACCTTGAATTAAACTGGCGCTCTGTTCCGTAATCTGCGCATGTAATCTCACCCTAAGCTACAACTTCTTTGGCGGGTAATTTGAAAGCAAACGTTTGATGCCTCGTGTGGTTGTTAATTGTTTATTGAGTCAGCGCTATACAGTGTTCAATTTTTGAAAATCAACGTAATCTCCGGATTTATAATTCTGTTGTTTCAAAACACCAACGAGGCACTCGGCGGTTTTCTCCGGGGTCGAAACAGTGTTGTTCTCGAGGGCTGATTTTATGCGAGTCACGAGTTCTTCGCTCTTACTTTTCTTGTAGGCGTCGTGAAGCATCTCGGTATCAACCAAGCCCGGCAGGTAGTTCAACACACTGACGTCAGGATTTTCCAAGGCAAAAGACTGCGAATATACAACACAACCGTTAGGGACAAAAAGAAAAGGAAGCGTGTGAATCTTGTGGGGAAAAATAAGAACCTTGAAAAACATATCCTTGGCGGCTTTGGCGGCGCAGTAGGAGCTTACGTACACGTCTGGCGTAAGACCCCAGTACGAGCAGACATTGACCACGTACTTTTTTACGCCACTGCTCTCGAAGGTTTTCATGAAGAGCCCGTTTAACACGGCGGACGAGAACATGTTGACGTTGAAAAACGTTTGCCATTCGCTGAAGTCCGTCAAATCATTGGCCGTTCGGGTGTAGTCCACTACGGCGGCACAGTGTACGATTATCGCTTGATTGAAACTTTCTGGCTTTTCGCCCCTAAGAGCGTCGTTCAGTGCGTCTATACATGTGAATACCAAACCAAAATGAATGTCAAGTCACCACAGAAGATAGCGATAACGATATTTTTAAGTGGCATTCTTATGAGATAAAGAATCGACCTTGCGTTAAATTTCGTTAAAAAAAAGCGTCAAACCAATGTATCTCGTTTTATCTCCAAGAGAGCGTATAATTACATGTGTCTACAGAAATGCATGAATTCAACGCGAAAACCAAGTTATAATAATAATATATATGCGTTAATTATGATGGGTGTGACCTTTCATTGGTGAATTTTCGTCACATTTTAAAATACAACTGGTATCCTATTAAGGATGTACTTAGTCAATTAAAATTTGCACGAAATTACCTTGCAACTCCTTAGTTGTCGTTTGGCCGAAATCGACGCTCTTGCACAAAATAATTAAACCCCTCGGCATTCCATCAGCAATTTTCTCGAGGTTCTCCAAATTTCTGGCCATGAGCAAAACTTTCGAGTCATTTTTCAAGTGCGACGCGAATTTTTCTGCAATCGCCCTTCCGATGCCTCGACTCGCCCCCGTAACTACCAAAAATGCCTTTCCCGCAAATATTTCGGACATGGTAATACAACACTTGTTGGGTGCAGCTTTCGAGTTCAGGAAAAAAGTTTTAAACGGACGTTTTTGGAAAAAAAAACACGATGCAGCTGATGTACCCGCACGGCCACGAATATATACTTATACGGGAGATCAGTGATCGCTCGGAGAGTTGCTCAACGAAACCGAAACGAAACTGATAACTTAAGTAAGGTAAAAGTGTAAGCACTCGCTTTAAAAAGAAAGTGTGCAATATTCTGTTATCGCGAGAAAAGTAAACTCAATGTCACACTGAATGTCAAAAGTTTAAAGAGAATTAATCAAGCATAAAATAATATTTAAGCTCTACAGAATACTACATTATACGGGACTGATGACTTAATTATACGTTTTTTGTTGTAATATGATATACGTAATTTTTTTTAATGGATAAAAAATACTACCAACTAACTATAAAACACGCTCGCCGCGCTCTTTTAAGTGTACACAATATTCGGCAAGAAAAAAAAAATTTCGCGCTACATAAAAAAATATGTAAGTACAAGTGTGAAAAAAAAGAGCGCCTATGTCAACGAGTATCTATATATACCTATGCAAATTAGAAGCGATTTCTCCCCGCAATTGCTTATCCCGCTATCCCTTTAGCGTTAACTTCTCTTAGGCACACACAAACATATATATATAATGTCTCCCGCAATTTGCACATCTCATTGGCCGATTTTCATTACTTAGATACTTTAACATCTACCGATGTCATTAATTACTTGCATGAATAATAAAAAATACACACACACGCACACACACAAACAAAGTGTTACCAACAGGTGAATTTGGAATTTCAAGAAACGCTATAGAAACACGCGTACTTATTACAGCTTATTATAGACTCGCATTTACTTATTTTCGTTGATTCATACGTTGACTGATAATATTCTAATTAAAGTTCGACAACTTAAGCATGTAGGTAGAGAAAAAAAAAAAAGGGAGCTGTAAAAAAGGAGCATGGTCCCTAAGAGGGCACATAAAAAAAGTGAAATAAGGATATTTTTTTTATGTACAAATTAAGGGGAAGGAAGGGTGGTTGGTGGTGGACGTATGTGTTGATACGGGCGGGGGAGGAGGGGGGCCGAGGAGGAGGAGGAAGGGCGTATGTGTGGCAACACTGTGTGACCGCGCGCATCCTTCACGCAACAAGCAACAATTGTTGGGCGAATTTCGAGAAATGAAAGAGGCGCGCGGTACGCGCTTTTTATTTTGTTGGGTATCCTGTTGTATAATATTTTTTTCACTCTTGCTTCCTGCCGCCGCGGTTTTACTTCTACACACAAAAAGCACATTACTAGTATTATTACAGCACTTTTCTCTTCTTCGTCAGTTCGCTATACTTGCAAAAGTCGCAACACCCATACTTACACACAACGTATGTACATACATATGCAACCGCTTCCTCCCCCTTGCCTCCATTTACTAACGAACAACGAACGCCGCTCTCTCCCCATTTCTCTCCAATACTCCAATCACCTTCCTCCCTTCCTCCTCGCACTCACTCGCACTACTTCAGTCGTAGTCGTGCGCTAGCTTCGTTAGGACGTGAAGTAAACATTTCGGCTATCGAATAATATATAAAACGGAGCGAGTGCGCCTCGTTAAAGAACAATAAAGTTTATCATCCCGCGGTACTAAAGCATCGTCTTCAAGAACAGACCTCATCCGTCTGTGCATAAGCTAAGGTAAGTTTATTACGAGTTAGAGCTTTGTTGAGTACGGCGTGGCTCGCTCTCTTGGATTCAAGTACAATATCGCGGTCTGCACACTACAAATCCATACATGATGTACATAGGTATACAGCAACGCGTGCACACGCGCGCGCTTTATAGGTAGCCGGCATCGGCAGCCATTTTATCTCACGTCGGCTCAGTTGGCTTTTTTTTTCTCTTTTTCCGCTCCTTTGGTGTTTGCCCGGAACACGAAGTAAGTATCGCGTCGTCCTGGATCGCATTTCTGATAACGAAGGTTCGATGTCCAATATCTTTTCCGTGTACAAGCGAGCCGGTGGTTTTGTTCGTCTGTTTTTATATATGTGTTGTTAGGTGTGTACATGTACATATCCTCCAGTTGTCTGTTAATGGTTTTCCCGCTTTCTCACCGGCTTTCATTTTTAAGAATAATTTCGTGGGTTTACGTGCCTTTCTGCTTCTTTCGATCGTGTTTTTTTTTTTTTTTTTTTCAACTTCAAAGTTTACAGTGTTCGAGTGATGGAGTAAGGAAAGCAGATTAGTTTTTTGTTTCGATAGTTAAGGGTCGGAGAAGAGAGCGGAAGAAAGAGAAAGAGAGAGACGCGCGCGGCGTCCAGAGAGGAGAGAGAGAGAGAGCGAAGCTCGCGTTCTGTATGATATTGTGTAGCTGCGTGAGCTATAACGGCCGTGTAGATAATTTACACACTCATCTTTGCACGTTGCAGGCTCGGCTGCCGCAGTCAACAGAAGTCGTTCTACGTCTAGAAGAGCGAAAAACAGGGAATAAACATGAGCAAATCCAAGGATTCCGCATCCACTGAGGCCGAGACCGAGGAGGAATACAGCGTGGAGAAAGTTCTTGACAGGAGGGTCGTCAAGGGCGGCAAGGTGAGTCAAGTCGTCCCGCTCTTTTTCCTCGTCCACTCTGTTTGCGTCCTAACCTATAGTACCTTTGTGCGTACACACTTGCCATTTACATACGAGCTTCAATTTTTCTAAACTCTTGAATGAAGTACTCGTAAACTTCGTAAAACAAACAAATACAATCGTCCTCGTCGCAAGTGGTGTTTATTTTTTGTATTTATTGTTGCAGATCGAGTATTACTTGAAGTGGAAGGGGTACTCAAACGAAGAGAACACATGGGAGCCAGAGGAGAACCTGGATTGTCCTGACTTGATTGCTCAATTCGAAGAACAGCGCAAAAAGAAAGAGGCTGCTGCCAGTAGCAAGAGCAAAGTTGATGATAAGGAGCTAAAAAAGCGAAAAAGTTCCAGCACACCCACACCAACACAGCCCAAGAAGAAGGTAGTGGAAGACAAGAAACCGGAAGGTAAGGATTACATCTATTTCAGTTATTAATGATTCATGCATGGGATAATTTAAATTATTTTAGTCCTAAACAATGTATAAGAGCTTTAAGCTAATGAGTCACTTTTGTATAGGCTTTGATAGAGGCTTGGAACCAGAGCGCATCATTGGAGCGACTGATTCTAGCGGAGAACTTATGTTCCTGATGAAATGGAAAGGAACAGACGATGCGGATCTAGTTCCTGCGCGAGATGCCAACGAAAAATGCCCGCAGATAGTCATCAGGTTCTATGAAGAAAGATTGACGTGGCACAGTCCAAGTAATGACGAAGAAGGAGTAAAACCTGATCCCGAATAGCCGTACTCACTTCCTCACAACTTAACTGTCTTTAAATAATGTCACTCGTGTAAACAATCAGATTTTGATTATATTTTTTCTTTTACTATTAACGTAACATAACGCACTGTGCCACCGACCAAATATTTTTAATAAAAAACAATGTAGTGTAAAAAAAAATCGAAAAAAAATATAGTCCAAATTTTCTAAAAACGATCTTGGGTGTCATTAAACTTGCTTCTATTACGTTCTTCAGAAATCATATCCATCAGTCATTATTGGCATTAGTAGTTATGTTAAGTCAATAGAGACAGACTCGGTTTTATATACCTGTAAATTCAGTATATAATGTGGATAAGATCGTAAAAAAAGACGATCTTGAACGAATGATTTTTTTTATCAGACCTTTGTAGTGTATGATTTTGTAAGTCTCGATTGTGGTTTAAATTAAAAGATTTTTTCTGTAGAAACGATATCATACTTCAAAAATTCGTTTACTTCGTTTCAAAATATTTGTGTTATAGACATTGTAATATGATATAATAGAAATACATTTAAGAATTGCGTATTTTGGAATTTAAAACAGTTTTTGTTTCGAAATTATCCCCTTTTAATTTTAAGTATTCTGACGTATTGCGTAAAATAAAATTCTTACACAGCTCGATATCAATAATCTTTGTATGATTACAATAAGTGTAAATTCTTATTTTTTATAGATTAGAATAAATAATGAACTAAAGTCAAGTTTTCATCTTTTTAACTCCTCACCTTCTAGTAAACTGTAACTTTGTAGCCAACAAATGTCATGAAATTATTACTTATGCAGTACAAATTTAACTCCGAGTAAGGATTTATGATAAACACCGAGGAAAAATTAATTAAAGGGATAAAATAGTTTTTTTCTACTAAAGAAAAATAAAGACATGCAATATATTTTTCAAAATATAATAAAAATCAATATTCGATGTATGTACATACAAATAAACTAGTTTCATTTTTTCCTCTTCATGAGTTTCTGTTTTGAAAAGTTCTTTTTACTGCCCTTGAAATTCTTAAACGGCTTCTTTTGCTTCTTACCACGGAAACCAGCAAGCCTTTGATTTCTCTCGGATTCCCAGTCAAGCTGCTTAGCATTAGCACCATCTCGATCACTAAATGATTTGCTAGCTCCATGCTTGAACTTTGTTTTGCCTTGATTCTCCAACATCTCTGCAAATTCTTCGGCAGATACAAACGGATTTTCGTCCGAGATTTTAAACTTCTTGTTTATACTGCTACCCTTGTTCTGTTTTCTCTTTTTTGATGATTGTTTCGAGCCCACGTCATTGTCATCGTCATCATCGTCCTCATTAAACTCTATGTCGCTCATGTCGTCATCAAGATCATCCAAATCCATGTCGTCCAAATCTTCAAATTCTCCGTCATCATCTTCGTCGAACTCGCCCATTTCCATGTCACTGTTTTCCATGTCTTCGTCAGATATCTCTGCGTCTTCGTCATCCAGTTCGTCATCACCTTCCTCACCTTCGTCATTGGATACTAGAAAGACAACACCGGCGTTAAACAATATTTTACAATTATTATTGAGCAAAAATAATGTACATGACGTCCTTACCCTTTGATTTCTTGGGCTTCCTGCTAATGTCACCAGCAACATCGAAATCGTCAATATCTTCCAGTTTTTTACTTTTGCTCAGCTGATCCAACATATCATTGAAATCTTCACTGTTGACGCTCTCATTGTCATCTTCCTCCTGTTTAACCTTGATTTCCCCACGTTTTTGCATGTACTGATAAAGAAACAGTTCATCGACTGGTATCCGATCTTGCTTCTCAGCAATGTATGCAGGACTATCAACTGGTATCAGTCGAACGCCTTTTGGAGCATATCCTGTTCTATGAGCAAGTGGATCGTTCTTTCTCGACACCTTCTTACCCTCGAGTTTTTTCGGATTTTTGAAGACGTAACGGTCAAGGAAACGAATCAGACTAAGATCCTCCAGCGGATCTCCTGTGTACTCGATGGGCTTACCTTTTCAAGAAAAATAATCGTATGGTTAAAAAATAATAATTTTACACCAAGGTTCAGCTAGTGATAATGTTAATAAAATGAAATTACTTGCTACAATTGTGCTTGCAAATAAAGAAACACTGGGATGAAAATGTCTTGCTAGAGCTCCCAGCTCGGAGTAGAAATTTAAATTGGCTCCGCTGCGCAGTGGGTTTCTGTTAAAAGGATCGTAAAATGTAGCTTTAAATTCATTTTTAACTTCGACCACAGGCTTGACGTCATCATCCTCTTTATTTTCCTCCTCTACAGCCTTTGAGATAACATTAGATAATACCACTGTGTTCTCTTTTGTCTTGGTTTTCGTCTTTTTTTCTTGAACAGTCACTTCATCCATCGTTTTACTTAAATCTATTTCGCCATCGTCATTTTTGACGGTAGCCGCAGACCTAGTTAAAATCTTATTTGTAAACTTTCTCGACTTCAACACTTGTGATAATGTGTATAGAGTAGCACATATCATATTGGCAGGAAAACTAATAGATGCTTGAAGAATCCTTTTGATGAACGCATGCAATCTCAGTATGCTCTGATCGTTGCGTAAAACTCTATAAAATAAATTTAAGAAAATAGCTCTTTTGTTGGCAGTGCCAATTTGAGGATCAATCAGTTTCTTATAAAATGCCATGTAGAATCTATCTGACTGTTTTGGATCTTTACCAACAACCTGAAAAAAAAAAAACGTTGGTTAAGCTGACACGATTAACCTGCATGCATATGATAGGGGTACTTAAGTATCAGTAATGATATAATGAAAATAAAAAAAACGAAAAAAAAATTTGCTTACTTCCAAAATTTATCGCAGACTTCACTTCATTCATGGCTCTTTTTAACCTTGTTCTTGTATTCCTCAAGATTCTTATCTCACAAGATAGGTTTTGCNTTTTTATTATTTTACATGAGTTTATCAAATCTTTTGCAAGTTATTGACTTACCTGAAATAATAAGCTCAAGGCATTCAGTGACACGTTAAAAGTCCCATGGTGAACAACTTTGTACACAGAATCTATGTGATCACTCAACTTAATGGTATTTACATCGGCAAACCTGTAAGCTCTATTTACACCGGCTAAAATTGCAGCCATCATTCTACTGTCGGGTTCTCCTTTTTTCAAGCAAGCCTTGAAAAAAGCAAAATATACATCAATAAGAGTCGTTGCAACTTGCGTGTCTTCCTTTGTCAAGAGAAATTGCGTTAGCAAACAGATGGCAAAGTACTGAGCTCTTGGCGAGATATTAGTTCTGAACAATAACTTTTCCACTTCTTTCAGAACAATGAGCTTCATTTGTGGATGCTCGTGTAGCAGTTTTGTCAAGCAGAACACAGCTTTTGAAGCTACTTTACTACTTGGGTCGCCGACTTTGTTTATCAAGAAGGCAAGAAGATTATGCTCCTGCTCGGGATTGCCCATCAACAGGTCATTCATTACTGTGACGGCTTTTTCTCTGTTCAGGTCTACTGTGTCATTGGCAATCTTCGACAAGGAGTTAACAAAACCGTCATAAATTTCCTTTAGTTGATCTTCGAAGTACCACAACGCCAATATTTTATTTTTGGACATGCCCAGTTCATGACTGTCCAACAAGTTTAAATCTTGATCCTCAAACTTGACCAGTTTGTATTGCGGATGCAGTAGATCACAAAGAAACAGATCCTTCAAATCTGTAATGATTTTACTGCACTGATTGTGTTTGGCCACCTTCACTTGCGACATCAGTGAATTCAGGTGATTGAGATTGTGCTTTGGGCTATCTTGAACTAAAACTATCCCAGCAGCTACTCTGTCAGCTATCGTTCCTTTGGATAATGCTGTTTTCATCCAAAAATAGTCTGAATTTTTGGTTTTGGACTGCTTCAAGTGGTAGGCTGCACTTTCCGAGTCCAAGCATTTCTTTGCTTCTTCTTTCAAATTAATTACATCCATGTCACTTTTGTTGTGCTTTTTCGGGCCTTCGGTTTTTGTAAACTCCTCGTACCATTTTTTATACTTAGGTCGAGGACCATCTTCCAAATCCATATGATTCATCTGGTAAAAAATAAATAGTTCTAAAGTGTGTATGTATATTTAATAGGAGTCTTGTACAACACCATTAAGAAAGCGCATCAATAACATGTAAAAAAGTTTAAACTCCAAAGCAAATCAAACAAATCAGTGAGTTTATGTATTTACGATGTGAAGAAGTAAATAATATTGGTGTAGGTTAAGTACGATAATGCAACAGTAAACACCGTGGTAAACCTATATATACCTTCAAATATCACGTTGTTACGGTAATCAAAGGATCGTCTAAGAAAATTAGAAAAACTCGTGTTATTTAGTGAATTTTTTCGTGAAAAATAACATTGCCAAATACTTAATTAACAGCGCAAAAACAACCTTGCTGTCAAGTCAAGTAATGAACTATAAAACACTTGTATATATATAGACTGTACTGCAACCTCTCTCTTCGAAGTCTCCGAAGTCTCCGAACTCTGAATAACAAAAACACGCGATACTGCGCTCTTTCCTTTGAGGCTCTCTCTCTTCTCTCAGCTCATAATTTTAAATTCTTTCAGCAGGTTACCAATTTTTATTTTAGTCCACATCTTTTTTTTTTTTTTATTGAGCTAGAAATTTGGTTGGTTAAACAAGTATTTTTATAATTTATGAGGTTTTATTTACTTAAACTACAAAGTAGAGGTCCAAAATATGATGAAAGTATAAAAAAAAAAACACGCGGAAGCGTTCATATTGTTCGTATGTATATTATTTTTTCGTGCATTCGAGATATATATTTTGTTCTTATCCTGCAAAAATACTTTGCTGAATTAATATTTTGAAAATGTTCATTCTTCAAAAATTCAGTGTGCCTCGTGCTGGCTCATCAGATTTGTATAATCCGATGTCACCCAAAAATAATTATTTTTGCGAATCTCATGGGTGCAAAAATCAAATTATTTTGCATTAAATTGTAAATTAATATAACAAGACTAATTTTAATTTTATGAAAGGTAGCATGCTTTTTAAAACAATCAATTTAAACTTGTTAAATATAATATATTGTCATTTATTACAATTCACGTGTAAACGCATATAAAAAAATAACAATGTCTTTTATTCGCTTGTAACGACGTAGGTAAACGCGCTTGAAAATTATCTTCTATCTATCAAAGAACTTTCAGTCCCCGCTTTGCACCGATTTTCTTTTCTTCTTACTAGGAACATCGGATGTGTTCAAATTTGACCTCTTGTTCTTCGCTTTTTCTAGTTTTTCCTTTTCCAGCGTGTCTTCACTGTCCATTGGCTGATTCGTTCCATTTTGTACAATGCCATCATCGTTACTGTGATTTGCGTTTTGTTTCACCATTTTCTTTTTCCTCTTTTTGTCTTTTTTGCTAGAACTATTCATTTCTTCCGAGAGGCTGTTATTGTGATCCTGTGATTGGCCATTCGTGTGGACTTCACCTATTGAATTTTCACATCCCAGCTTTTTTACTCCATTTTGATGTTTTGGTTTTTTGGATGATTTGGGCTCACTTTTACAACTGAGAAGAAGACAAACATTACATGTAATTTTCTTTAAGCCCATGTGAAATGATAAAAAAAAAAAGTAAATAAAAAAATAAGTGAAAGAAATTCAAAAATTCAAATAGAAAAAAAAAAAATGAATGATTGAACTTACACAACAGGAGCACCAATACGCTGAGCAAGTTTGTTATAAGCACTTTTGGCATCTTTGCCCAACGAAACTTTCGCTCTGTAGCTTGCCATTGCCTTTCCGACTTCTGTCCAGTCCCAAGCTTCTGGCACATGATGAGTATGAACCGCAAATAGCAGTGTCAAAAGATGACTAACATATTTTTGTTTGATTTCTTTGCCTACATCAGAAGCTGCCTCTTCATTTTTTTCGTCTTCTTCTTTTAAAGGCTCATTTGATTTGAAAAGTTCTATGCTTTTCTGGCATAAATTTTTCTCCAACTTAAGCTTTTTATCTTTAGAGTCCTCCAAATTGATCATTTTATTACTGTAAAATGTCCTGAGAAATTCAAGAGCCTGGCCTCTTCTGTACGACCGTATATTCTGGTCAAAGGAAAATTTTACCTAAAAAAAAATTAACAGCAGAATTAATTTTTTCAACAATCCACAAAGCAATAAAATGTTAAAAATTCATAATCGTAATTTACCAGAACTGGTGCAAGTTTCCAAGTCCCAACCCAGTTAAGCTGTAGCAGTCTTTTGAATAAAATTGGCTGAATGATGCAACTTCTCTTCTCAAAGAACGACGTCAAATATTGCACGAATATTTTGATGAATTCTCCGGTAGAACAGTTGGCTAGCTGCGAGCACCTAATCAAAAATACACAGCAATCCGCCAACTTGTCGCCCATCTCTTTACTAACGCTTGCCGTTAATTTACTTTCTTGTATCATTACTTGCAAAGTTGTGATTAGGACATTCTCGTCGACGTCCTCGACACTTTCAAACTTTTTTGTTGCTGCCAATTTCTTCATGCAAGCTCTAACTCTGTTCTCCAAAGGTTTCTGATGAGGATCTTTGATACAGAACTCCAGTAGTTGAAAAACTGGCACTAGCATATCCAACGCGAGGGACATCGAAGGACCGGACTCCATGTACATTTCCAGCAGATCCATCACTCTGATTCTGTAGTGCATGAGCACCTGATCGCCTTCCTTTTGTTTCTTTGAACTAGATTTTCGGGTTTGTTTTACCATCTTGAAAGCTGCGGCTAATTGTGCATCAAGGCGTTTGCCCTCGTCTTCGTCTATGTTGTCGACGTCGATATCGTTTTCTTCACTTTGAGATGCGTCGTTGTACAAAATCTTCTGGATTGACATGCGCAACAAGTCCGTTGTTGTCTCATCCTCTGAGCCTGATTCTTCGAGATCAGAGTCACTTTCCGCTTCTGTGGTCTCGTCATCCTTTTCATCCTCATTCTCCTCGTCCTCTTCTTCGTCTTCGTTATTTTCATTCTCATTGTCACTCTTGTCTTCGTCATCGCTCGAGTCACTTTTGGAATATTCGTCATCTTTCGAGACCAAAGGATTTTTATTAGGGTCTAATGTTTCCAAGATACTGTGCACAGCAACAGACGTCAGATGAGGACAGATGTGTGGGAAGACGCATCCTACAAGCGAACGCAACAAATGACTCTTTCTCGAAAGCAATAACAGCAATAAGTCAACAACAACCTCGACCCACAGGGGTTCATCGTTCTTTTCATTATCAATCTTGTTATTTATCTTGTCTGTAGCTTTTAAATGTTCAAAACTGCTGCAGATATCGTCAATGGCTTCCTTTGCCATTCTAGGCTCGAAGAACAGCTGCAATCCCATTTGAAGGTTTATTGTATGGAAGACGGCACTGATTTTTTCTGTGCTCTTTACATCTTTTTCTAATTTTTTATTGAGCTTAAGCATTTTCTCCCAAGCTTCTTCCGCTTTTTCCTTCAGTGGCTTTTTCAGTTTTATTTCTCCTTCTTTAAAAACAGCTTTATCGATGTAAGCTATTAAAGATTTGAGAATATTTCTCAAATCGTCGAGTTTCGGGAATTTGTGATCTAACGCGCGGTAAAAACATTCCTTGAACGGGGCTGAAATTATGAAAAATAGTAACATAGTTATTGATTTCATTTAACTTGTTAATCCAACAAATACTTACAAAGTAATTCTTGCTCGACATTCGTTTCACACAGGCCAAGATTAAATAAGAATTTCAACTGCTCTAATCTCCAATCATGATTGTTCATCATTTCTGAGTGGTTCATTAATCTAAAAAGACAATTTTTTATAATTACAAAATATAATATTAAACGTTAATCAAAAGTATAGCTTTAACTTACTTGACACTAAAAATTTGCATGGCATAAATTCTTTCCTCAAATCTCCAGGGCTCTGGCTCGCAATCTGGTTTTTCCTTGAATTTAGTGTTTGCCGCTATTTCTCTGAACAAGTCCGAAAGTTCTTCAATACCATTTGCATTTAGCTTTTGAAACAGTATTTGGAAAACTTTTGTGCCAGTCAATTTTTCAATCATGAGGTCCCCGGGAAACATAATCAATTTCTTTATAATGGAGATACGCAACTTGGATTCCTCATCTTTATTGATAAGTGAATTCTGTACTTGAAATTCCAAGTCCTGATCGAGTACCTTGACAAAAAGCGTCAAAGCTTTTTGAAAGTCCATTGCTATTTCGTCATTTTTTATGGGATTGGTTTTAAATCTTTTTAAAAAGTACTTTAAAAAGTTTGTCGAAAGTAGAGATGGAAAAAAGGATTTAGCTTCATTTTTGGGATGTTTTTTTTTATCTGCGGGATCTTTGTCTTTCATACTTGCTACATATTTCCCGTGATTTTCAATCAGTAAGTGAAACAGTTCCACAGCCATGTATTTTTCAGTTTTAATGAGTTTATGAGTCTGAGAATCGAAACACTCATCTATGGCTTCCCAAAATTTTATGACTAATTCTGGTTTACCTTTGGATGTTAAAATTTCACAAAACAACTGATGAACTGGATGTTTTTTGTACACAGTTCTGGGAGTTTTCTATAACAATGTTATAATTTGTGAATAAATACTTTAAATTACTTCAAAAAATATGTTTGTAGTCAAAAGAATTAATTACCATTAATATTTTAGCGATCTCTTTTACAGTATCTTTACAGATGACTTTATCTGAGCCAAAAGAGTTTTTCAATGTTTCCTTGTTAATAACGTCGGGAAAAGTATTGAAAACTATAAGTAATAAATGAAGAGAGTCCAAATTTTGCTCTGATAACGGTTTGCAAGTTTCTTGCTCCATAACAGGCCACAAAGCAGCCATTGCACCATTGTCGTCGATCTGTTTCAAAAAATCTCCAATGAATAATATACATTCAAAATATAAGTAATCCTTCTGTTTTCCATTTTGTATCAAACACTCGAGAACTTTTTTCTGTTCCTCAATTGGACAAGATTTCAGAACCTTGGAACGAATCAAAGCACCACAAGCCAAAACACGACCGTGGCACACGTCAGAATGTTCCTAAATGAAAAACAAGAAATGTTTTTATTCATGAAACTCCAAAATAAACGAAAGTTTTTCACGAGACTTACTCCTTTGCTACTACTGCCAGTTGCTACTAATTCTTTGTCCATGGCACTAAAAATTTGGTCAACTGTGATAGTGGGATTCATTTTTAAGAGAACAGTCAAGGTGGCATAGAAACCTTTCCTTGCATTAACCTTTGATGATCCCAAGCCTCGAACCAGCCTATTGAGGGCATAATAGAACTCCTTGCTTTCTTCATTGTTTTCCTGTATGATGAAAAATCAAGCATTAACCTTAAATCCATGCTAGACGTAAATGTAATAAAAATAGTACAATGTACGCAAATGTTTTACAGGGACATCCCCATAAGTACAACTCTCCCAGTTTAGGAACCTTTAAACCAACAAGGAACGTAGTGGAACAAAAAGTAAGTTTCTTTTTACTTGACCGTATGCGAGGACTAATTATAACAACCAAACAGTAGATAATTTAGCAATAACCAAGAGATGAAAGAAAAAAAAGATGCAAACGTGCGTTGCGGTTCTTTGAGGTTACAGCGGTGTTAATGATCATACCTGTATTACCCTTGACAGCTGCTCTATCAACTTGACTCCACCGTCGATTCTGGAGTTTGTGTTTTCGTGCAACAATTTTGGAAAGCAGTCCAGCGTTTCTGCGGCCATTTTTCACCTTTATCTATTTTATATAAACAAATTTAACTTCCTGTACTACACTATTCAACAAAAGTTTAAACGGATGGCTCATGCCACAATGTGGTCCGCGGGGCCGCGTGTGTGCAGAGTTTATTGCAGAGTTGCAGACCGCATGAGAGAGTCCTCTTCCCGACCTCCCTCTCCTCTCTCAACACACAACACTTCTGCTCCGTTTTTTTTCTTTTAATTATTTTTGCTTGCAAATTTTATTCTGATTATGTACATAAAAATTACAGTTTGTAAAGAACACGCTATTCCGATCGAAAAGCTATATTTGCTCGAAATTTCATTGTATTTCAAAAAATATTAAACATTGAACGGACGTCAGTTACGCGCGGTACTAGAGACGTCCCTTTTGGTTTTGATATGAAAATTGACGGTATCGTTATGTCGTGGCCACAGCGCAGCTTTGTTACAAAAAACACTCCGATATTCGATTATTGTTCTAATACCTAATACTTAATTATTAGTGTGATCTCTCTCAATTTTTCACCAACCTTTAGTTTTTCAAATTTTGTATCGTAGCTCTAGCTCTACCTATAATCTGAAAACTTGTTTTTTCCGAAACTAGTTGCTTACTTTCTATAATTTTTTACTTTGAAATCTTAGAATGTGAATTGTACATATTCATATACTTAGCCGTGATTGCGTTGGACGTGGACAAGAGAAAGAACAGTAGAAGACACGTGGGCCACTCATTCATGTCATCAGTTTTTTTTTGTCGCTAAAATGATGTTTTAGCACTAAATGGTACTTCAAAACTTGAAACGTCCACGAAATACATCAATAATGGATTCTTATTCTGACTGTACTCCCAATAAAGGTATGTATTATTATAAAAAAATAAACTAAATTAGTGTCGTGGTAACTAGTTTAACTAGTTGACACTGTAAAAAAATGTGTATAATGAAAATAAATGAAGGCAAGTGTTAATAGTAATCGTTGTTTGATGTTTCAGTATCTCTCGTAGAGAGAAATATTGCACCACAGGGGATTGATCTTGTTAATCCTAAAGCAGTAGCTAAGAAAACGCCAAGTGATTTGGTACAACTGGCAGTGGAAATCCAAAAGGTAACAACTTTAATTTTTAATGATCGTTGTAAGGTTAATAGACAAAAATGTGTATTTTTTTAGGCTGATGACTATGTAAAAGCGAATGCTTGTAGTAAGCTTCAAATCATTGCAGAACAGATGAGGTTCTTACAGCGTCAAGCTGAAAAAGTGTTATTGGAAGCCAAGGAAAACTCAGTAATGCACCATGCTGCATGCAATTTTGTCAAGCATCCAGGCAATGTTTATCATCTTTATCAGAGAGAATCTGGACAAACATATTTTTCAATGCTCAGTCCGCAGGTGATTAAAAATATCTTCAAATGTGACCGTTGTTTTTTCATTAGGCTTTTAAATAAATTGCTTGATTCATATTTGCATGGTATCCATTGAAATTTCTTAAGGAGGGAAACAAAAGTTCAAGCTCAGGTTTTATATCCGCTTTATTAAATCACAAAATATCTTATTACAGGAATGGGGAAAATCTGCCCCACAGCAGACTTATAAAGGCTCCTTTAGACTAGAATTCGACCATTCATGGACTCCACTATCCAATACTCACATCAAAGACCAAGAACTTGCTGTGCTGAATAGAATTTATCAAAACAACGATACTTCGAAAAATGTATCCTTAACAGAGTACATGAGCATCGACTCGAGTTGACAAAAGTGCGAGATCGAGTTTTGTGATGGATAAAATAGTTAATTTATGAATTTGATGCTTGGATGGCAGTTTATAAGTATGGTACCTTGTTAATCTTAAACTTTGTAAAATATACTTGTTTATTCAACCCTAATTATGTAATAGTCATCATCACATTGATTGATTATCATTACTTTTGTCATTAGTGACGAAATCCAATATAATGCAGGACATGTTTATTATTTGAACAAAATAGCAAATGGTATTTTTAATAAGAAAATTTATTTTTCTATACACTAATAACAAAAGCTACAATTTCGTAAGCATTCACGAAACGCAGCAAAAACTATGGCAGACTTGAAATACGTTCGATTTTCTATTTTCAACAAATATCACATAATATATTGTATAGTAGGTAATTAAGAAAAGTCAACTTTTTCTTTTAATAATTTTGTAGAGCTAATTTTAGTGCACTGAGAGATAATTTTTCGTACAACTAGTTTTTTTTTTTTTTTTTTTTTTACTTTAAAAATCAGGTAGATTTTATTTTATTAACATTATTAAAATTACTTTCTTGATCACAAGAAAATATTTTTTTAAGCGTCAACAATTATCTTGATTAAATTTAAACATTCTCGAACTTTTTTACAGTAAGAAAAAATAAAAAATTGGACGTAATTTGAAATTTCCCTAAATGTATAGATTACTTTTGTGCTGTTCCTTCCGGAAAATTTTTATTTTTTCGTTTGAAGAAAAAAGTATTTGCGTTTATTTGATCGATTGCGATAAAATTTGGTTGGTGAACAAATAGTTTTGGCAGTAATTATTTGAATAAAACAGTTTAATATACATATTTCACTGTATATTACCCATAAGGTAGCAAAAAAAAAAAAAAAAAAAAAAAAAAAAAAAAAAAAAAAAACTACCTAGAGTCACTTATCATCTTTTAGTTTCTGTCTCAAGACACCATCTAAAAATGCATTTGTAACTAGCTTGTCCAAGGGATATAAGACTTGCGAACCTTTACTTCACGAGCATCTCGTTTATGTCATGTGGTATTCACACGATGAGCTAAAAAAAACAAAATTTCGTTCAATGATCTCTTGCATGGATTATAAACAATAATTGAAATGTGCAATGAACCAATGAACAATGTCAATGGTAAAATGTTAGTGATACTTACAATTCTTAGGTATCCTAATAGGCTCGATGTCTTTGATCAAACACTCATGTGTTTGCCTATGGAACAAATATTGTACAAGAAGTTGTTTATCCTCTCCAACACAAGGGTCGTAAAATCCTGGCAGTTGACTCTGCAAAATAAATTCATCGTCAGTTTTAAATGTTTACTTTATTGATGCAGAAAAATCTAAAATAAACAATGTAACGTCACCTTAGAAGCATTGTGGAGTACCAGCTTGGAATCTTTCACGAGACATTGCAGAGGAATGGTCACGTCGATAATCTCGTCCCTCTGTCCTCCAACAGTCTCCTCACTACCGTTAGCGCGATCCTGCGGATAAACAAATCTGCCGTAGAGTGCTTTGGTAATGACGAGTCCTTTCTTAGCCTCTTCCTCTGCCCTGATCCGGCTGAACGTAGCTTTCATAAGTTCAACAGCAGCTCTCGCTTCTTTTTGCTTCTCCTGCTTCAACCTCTTGTTCGACTCTTTTTGCTTATCTCGATCCCGCCGCTGTCGTTCTCGGACTATAGGATCAACGATAAAGTTCTTGAGCAACACCCAACTGACGATAGGCGCGACTGTGGCGTAAAACACTGGCGCCGGGAAGACTTCGTCACACAACCAGATCGGGAAGTTGTAGCTTTGGTAGGCGCGTCGCAGGCGTATTCGTAATGTCACACCTGTTGGAGATCCTATTTGAACTGTTGCCGAGACCGAAGTGTGTTTAGATAGTTTTTTCGTGGCACCGTATTCTACGAGCCAGCCGAACGTGCCAAGTCTGGAAATAAGTGGGTCGTGAGTGTTGATTATCGATTGCAAATATAGTTTGAACTGCAATGTTGTAAGGTTGTGATTATTTGCAAATTAAGATCTAGGGCGTTTAATGCTCACTTAGAATGTGTAAAAAGTTTTTATATTTTTTTTAATATATAAAACATGCATATTTAAGAATTTACGATTCAGTTATGGTAATAAATAAAATCTATGAAGCTTGAAACTCGTTTGAAACACAAACAGCTTATATAGAGGAAGAGAGAGATCTAAAACTGCCTTTTTTTACGTACTTTACATAGCCTTTGAGTTCCATTTGCCTTTCCTCTAACTTTTGTGTGTAACTTAGACTAATGAACGACCTCATTAGTGAAAATTCTATTGAAAGGGCAGTGTACGAATGAGGTGTACTCCTCACAATCGTTGTATTCATCCCACTTTGGATTCCAGCTCTATATGTGATATTTCCAACAGTATGCGTATCCAATTGCATTGCCAAAGCTTTTAACGGAAATAAATAAAGTAATTACAAATAACAAGGGGATGAGCTTTAAAAGCTCTTTTAAATTAACAAATTTTTAACCTACTTCCAACAAAGCCCGGCCTGATCTCATTTGGTGAGAACTGTACTACGGCACCACCATTAAAAAAGATTCTTTTCGTCAATGTTCTGTAGCCTCTCAATGAAAACGTAGGTCCATTGCCGGCTCCGACTTCAACTTCGAACCAGCCTTTTTGCGATACAAGTCGTCTAACAGAAAAGTTTATTGTTCCTGAACCAACACCATTTTTCATGCTAAGATCTCCTCCAAGCACAGCCGTATTTTTGATCGTGAGTGGTGCTTCGATTGACTGACTGAGTGACATTCCACTGACTTCAACTGACGTAAATACGCTATTTCTAAAAATAAAATTACAATGTTGTAACATATGTCAGCTTAATGGATGAGTAGAAAGTCACACAGAAACGCATAAAATATGTCCAACCTATTATTTTCAATCCTGTTGCAAGGAGCAATGGAACATGTTTAAAAATATTAAAATTAATGTGAAGTACATTAATTATAAGTACATATTGATTCTGCTTAAATTCTAAAATAGCTAATAGACTAGCTGTCACGATATGAAACATAAAATTATCTTTGTTTATTCTCACCCTTCATAAATATCATCATAATCATTTCCATATCTGCTGAACAGATCCGTGGCATTAATATGCACCGTCACACTGCCTTTGGGATTAGTGCGCAATAATAGCTTCCTTTCTTCCTCTTCTTTGGCTAATCTTTCGTACTCCTCTATTAATTCTTGGGGAGTTTTTCTGCGCACCATCACTTCCCATCCATCAGTCTCCAGACCTTTGGTACCCACGGAATCGTAAATAGCCTTCTTGTGAGGATCAGAAAGGACTGAAGAAGATCATTTTTCGTTAGAAATTGCATTCACACCAATGTTCAATTATCATTATTATTGTATTTTTTAAATGTCACCTTGATATGCCTTGTTCGTTTTGTTAAAAAGTATCTCAGCATCCTTTTTGAGGGCAGGGTCAGTGTGCTTATCAGGATGATAAAGTCTGCTGTTTCTTTTGTACGCGTTGCTGATTTCCTCAGGTTTTGCCTGTTAACAAAAAAGAAGAAAAAAATTAGTGTTACAGCATACTACTAGAAATAATAACATTAAAGTGATTCAAGAATTTCAGGCATTTAACACAAAGATTACAGAGAGGCATACAAAAAAAAATCAGTATTTCTTTACATAATCTACGTGCAGTATGAATTGCTTATATCAACAACCTTGCACCAATCAAAAGGTATTCCTGATAACCCCAAAAATTAGACACCCTTGACACCGTATCAAGGTGAATGAGTAAAGAATCGAATCAGAGCTTGAAAATTAATTTAGATAGAACGCCGTGCACCGAGAAATTTGGATAGCTGTTACGTCAGCTGTTTCAAAAGGCAACGCAAAGACAAAACGTAACAGAGGCGAAGAAAATAAAAAAAGGAGCAATGGAACGGAGCATCCGCAGAAGTGCTCGCGAGGAAATGTAATGGGATGTAAAGTGTAGTCACGTGGAGTCAGGATCGATCAAGGGAATGGATCATCACCACCAGCATGTGTTAGTCTCATCTGAAGAGCAAAGAAGGGATGAAATCACTTACATCCCTGGGGATGTTGAGGAAGGTGTAGTAGTCCTCCTCGAAGCAAGCGTCTTTCTCCTCCTCGTCCATGCTTGAATCCTTTTCTCTTCAACGTCCTTGAGTTGTAACAAGAAGCACACTCGCACACGCCACTTTTTTTACTTCTTTTTTTTTGTTTTATTTCATGAACTGTCGTTTCGTTTGTACAATGCTTTAGCACGTGCGAATTAGCGTATAAGTATCTTGCTGTTGGATTGCTGACCGGTTTCTTTTTTTTTTTTTTTTTTTTCACTCTCTTACGAAGAGGAGCCGATGCAGTAAGTAAGTACAGGGATTGATTTACACAAACAGAGAAGGAGCGGACAGAAACAGACAGAAAAGTTCAGCTTGAATCTTGAATGCTCTTTCTCGACGAGTAAGTACTCCGAGTACTCGTCTGCTATGAGGACATACACGCGCGCTATGCGTGAATTTCTGATTTGATAGTGCAGATTACTAGCTTACCGATCGTTAGTGTGATAAAAATGTTAAACAGTGTGCACTGACCGACGGCAGGTTAATCTAAAAGTACGACGACTTTTTGGTTCCTTAGAATTCCGTGGTATGGCGCTGTTTATTCTTCTCTGATCGAAATTTTCGATTCGAAAATGATTGTGTAAAAAAAAAAGGTAGGTACATCCTTTAAAAAACTTAGACATAAGTACCAGACTATCAGAGTCTCGATGTATTAATATTGTTGGTAGGTCAAACTAGGACATTTTTTAACGTCCTAACGTGGTGCGTATACGCGCGATTTTACACGTCTCCTGATGCTCGGTAAGTAAAAAATAATACCACCAGCTTAGCGGGCGATAATTTTTCCCTACGGACCACCAGTAACGTATAAATTACTTCTTATGCAACGCCATAATATATATATAGTGCAAGGATTCGATAAGAAGATTCGATTTCCTCATTTTTTTTTTTTTTCTTATAAATACACGCGAAACAAGGCGAACAAAAGCTAAGTATATACAAATTATACGTCACGAGACGCACGAGATCTCGAGTTGAGTTTTTATATGTATATGTGTACACGCGCCTTTACGCATATTTAACGATGGAACAAATATATTTTTACACCCTCCTCCTCGAGAGAGTGGCTCGAATATCGTGTGCGTGTGGGTGTTTTCTCCTTTCCGAGCTCTCGGCCCCAAGTGCATGCATCACAACGTCGCTTTAACGCGCTCGTATATACCTATATAACGTGTAGAAAAAAAAAAGAAAAAAAAAGAAAAACGACGGATTTACGAGCGCCCTGATTTTTTTTTTGCCCCCCCCCCCCCCTTCCTTTACTCCATTTTACGAGCGACCAAGAACGCAACTCTGCGCTTGCACGGGCCTCTCTCTTACCTCTATTGAGGATTTTTTTTTTTTCAAGGGGTCAAGTGGGGGCCTATTTTATTTTTTTACGATCCACCGATGCGTTTACGAGTAATTACTTAGTTCGTCGTAAATCACGGCAGGTCCATGGGATTCCGATTTTGAGAATAATAAGTAATGATTGAATGATCGCGGGGAGGAAAAAAAATGTCGAGAGAGCTAATCGCGACACAAACGTTACGTGTATTTTTACACCTATTGTCTAATTGTCCAACAATGGTGGAACACACATGTATACGGGTACATGGGATTGTTTATATTATTATATATACGTTAAAGATAGTACAGTGTTTTGTTGTACACATTCTATCCTTCGTCCCTCTCGTAAGTATAGGTATATATATATATATACCGATTTCTTTGTCTATTGTATTATACAGCCACACGCACAATCGGCTCTTATCTCGTCGAGTTAGCGGTTCAACTGTTCTTAAGTATCCGTGTCCGTAAGTTACGGGGTGCAGATTATAGCCCGCTCGTGTCATCTAATATATCCTGTGCGCCGAATTGGTCACTATATACATTATTGTGTACACCTACCTATATATGTATATAGAGTTCCTCGAGCCATATATACCCACACGCGGGCCACATGCTATACAACGTTCGGTTATTCGAGATCTCGCAGATGACGTCGCGTTCGTCCGTACAATATAGGTACCTATACCATGTACAAACCCCGTACTTACTTTCTTTTTTTTTTCTCTCTCTCTCTCTCTCTATAAGATTCTCTTTCATCCATCAGAAACAAAAAGGTCAACAAAACTCTCGTCCAAATGTGCACGAGAGTGTATTTATAGGAGTATACATTTGCGATAAGGCTTGGCATATACGTGTATTGTTTGGGATATGTATATACATACACCTATAGTCGATAGAGAGAGGAAAGGATAATCACTGTGGCATTTGAGTTTTGGATTTCCGAGAACTCAACTAGTTGTCAAATATATCAGTCCAATAAATTGATTTTTCAGTGGGAATAACGGACAAAGTCAAAAGATTTTTCCAGTGGTGTGATTAATAATTACAATAAAAATAATAAAGACAGATGTATGATTATTGTGGACTGAATGAAAAAAAAAAAAAAAAAAAAAAAATGTTATAGGGAAACCAATCATCACATATATAATGTGTCATATCACTTGCCCAAAGAGTATGCAATTATTATTCGAATGAAATGTAGGACTATACAAATTATAAGTATCCGACAAAGACGCGCTCATTTCCTGATTTCAAAGGTTTATTTCGTTGATAATGAATACTAATATATTAATTTTGATTTTTTTTGTTTTCAGTAACTGCAGTCCCAGTGGCTTGATTACACGCTGTTTGCCAATTACATGAGATTTCATCGATCACGTGTAGTAGATACAAGAAATACCAAAGGTACCCAAGAATCTTAATAAATATAAGGATAATTGAACGCGCAGCAAACCAAGTATAAATATTAATGCCCGAAACGTGCTGGTGGAGGAGGAAAAGGAGAGAAAAATAGTCCGCGCTATAATATTATGTTGACGCGCGTATATACAGGTAGTATGTCACATGTGCATATATAATATATACATGTGTATACATATATACGTATCTCTTGTCCTGACCAATCCGAGGCGCCAGCTTTGACACCGCCCACTCATGGCGACCGATTGCTCTCTTCTCCCTCGCTCTCGCGAACTGCCTCCTCCTCCTCCTCGCTCGACGATACTCGCGGCGGGCGATGTTTTCCGCGGAATCCTCCCCTGTATACATTATATTTTTGCCATGGCAAGGGATCGATACTCAAATCGTCCATGTGGACCTAATACTTGGAAAATATACCAAGTATAGTTGAGGATTTATTATTTGTAGAGATCAAAAAACCTATTATTTGTTCTTTCTAAAAATTGAGACTTCATCTTTTGTACTTCACGAAAGACGCTTTTTTTTTTTATTATTTCAAAAGATCAAATTAAAAAGTTTATTGTTTATAAAAGTACACAATGCATTAATTTTTTTGTTAAAAAGTGTAATAGTATCGTTTATATATTATATCGTAGTACTTATATTCAAAATGTATAAACACATCATTTTATTCTTTACACCGTGAACGTTATTTAGTCTTTTGGGTTTTGAGTATGGTGGGCTGTGGTCAACCCAGTTTTTTTACTCCCTAGCCTACCTTACATGAAAAAAAAAAAAAAAACAATTCGTATATTTAACGAGGGATATGAACGATTTCATGAAACATAAATTTAATTCCATGGCGCATTGAAACTTTTTTTTTTTCAATCGAATCATCAATTGTAGAAAATGTTATGAAGTTATGCTGAAAAGTATAAGTGTACTGTATAACACTGATGAATCGTAATCAAATTTTGGCATGTATACTTTTTTAGGTTTTTTGCAATATAATTATTCACTGTATAATTTCAATGCATCCATTTTGCTTGAAAAAATTGTTTATCAGCTAAAACAATGCTTTAAAATTCGAAAGACAAAACAATTTAGAACCACAACAAAATGGAGTCAAGGTATATAGAAATCAACATGATTTGAGATCCTTTACAATCAACTTGTATACCTAAAATATATTGCACTTTTTTTGGCAGAAAAGTAAAACTTTTATCAATTATTGCATCGTAAATAGTAATGAATCAAAAATTTCAGCCAAAAGAATGAACTTTATTCAGAAGAACAATAATTTAGTTTTAAAGTGTTAAAAATCCATAATATGTACATCTTGCTACGGAATATCATCTACATATGTTTTTTTTTTATTGTTTGTATTAGGTTCTGACCTCAGTGAGGTATTAACACTATAATTTATTTAAAGAAAATTTATACAATATACATTGGATAAATTATTTTACATAATAAACGTAGAATAACACACATATTATTCTTTCTCAGCGAATTCACGTGCGCAGTTTAACAAAATAAGGTTTTCTACAGCTCGTTGTTTCACTCCTCGATGTTCATCGCTTGCCGATTTCCGTGGCTGCAACAATAAGTTTAATCAAACAAAACGATTTTCGCTCAAGGCAGCCGTAATGTATATACACTGTTGCTTAAATTTCATCGACTCATCATCCTTCCCTGACGAAAAATTGCACAACAAGCGAAGAAACTTTGTCGATCGTCATACGGCTGTGATGTATAAATGTATGAAAAAAAAAAAAAAAAAAGAAGTACAAGCCTCGGCGCTTTTTCTCGGTGTGACCAATAAAGTTGATCCTGACCTCGATGTCGTTGTGGATGTATGTTATATAAATAACAAGTGTGCCTCCACTGAGTTGCCGATGGTTGCGAGGATTAAGCAATAGTATACGTCTTTGACGGAGCTGCAATAATACAATACATAATTTCACAGTGCAGAAGAGCGCGGTGCTCGAAATTTGGTGCAGGAAAAAATGCAACGGCCGCTTTTTTTCCTCCTTATGTGTGTCAGCCTGCAGTATGATGCGTCTACATTTTTTTTTTTTTTTTTTTTTTTTTTTGTTGAGAATTGGTTAGAAAAAAATTTTAATTATATACTGTTTTCTAAGCTCAACGCGACAGTTCGACCATACAGGAGTGGAGTGTATTTTGTTACTGCAACCTCATACCTGATGATATTTTTTACAAAGTTTGATCCTAAAACGAGTGTGGTCCACAGGTTTTGCTTGGAACAGATCACCGTCTGTAAATACAAGTTTTAAGATTAACTCGAGTAATTATTATCCTATTTAGCTGAAATAAATTTAAAAAATTGGATACTTGCACTTGGTAACAATAGATTTGTTCAAGCCCCTTTTGGTTCGGTTCGGTTCTCTTAACAAAACACATACCTATATATGTATACAGAACCAGTTCTGTTTGGTTCCCTGTATATAGGTATATTTTGTTAAGAGAACCGAACCAAAAGGGGCTTGAACGAACCTAATATTGATTCATATCAGCTAACTTCATTACTTTGACATTGCAGGACGATTCATAGATATGGATCCGACAAGAAATA